AAGGAAGCGGTAGATCGGTTGGCGAAGGCAAATGGGGTACGTTGGTATGGGCATGTGCTGAGGAGGGAGTTTGGGCATGTATTAAGAAGGGCCCTTGATTTAGAGGTGAGCGGTCCAAGGAAAAGGGGAAGGCCAAAGAAGACGTGGAAGATGCAAGTGGAGGAGGAGAGTGGGAAGGTTGGGATGAGGATGAGGGATGCTTTAAATCGTGCAAAGTGGAGGGAGGGGGTAAGAGCGATTGCCACTAGTTTAAGGTGAATCCGGCCACCCTCGTCTTCGGGGACCAAACCGGATTTAAAACTCTGGACTACTACTACTACTAAACATAATATGATATTGATTTAGATAAACAGAATATGATATTGATTTAGATAAACAGAATATGATATTGATTTAGATAAACATAATATGATATTGATTTAGATAAACAGAATATGATATTGATTTAGATAAACAGAATATGATAATGATTTAGATAAACAGATATGATATTGATTTAGATAAACAGGATATCCTATTGATCTATGATATTAATCTACCTGAACAGAACATGGTATTTAGATAGAAATTACAATATTATTAATTTTGTATTTTATGAAAATTTGCATATTTGAAACAAGACTTATTGACCAAGTTCTTGTGTTTATAAAAAAATAAATTCAAATGCATATTGGGGGTGCGTACTTACACACAAATTGAGTAATTAAGCAGTCTGTGTCTTATTTTTTTTTGCAGGTCTTTCAATGGTAGCTGCATGTGCTCCCAGTGATAAATTTCTTTACATGGGAGGTCCTTTAGCCATGGGTCTTGGTGTAGTTTTCATCGCCTCCCTTGGTAAGTGGTATTTTTTGAAATCATGCTTTTCTTCTTTTCAAAATAACCCATGTGCTTTGTAGTTGAGTAAGGCTGGTCGGTCGTCTGCAGTTATGACAATGAATTATAGGTAAGAGAGTTTTTATTTTAAATTCAACGCTATATTTTGCAGTTAGCAATAAAAATATATATACAAAGACAATTAAACAGCTGTGTAATTGTGAAACTTGACAGTGCTGTCGGAAATAATCTCAAACTGATTTTACAGGTGAATATAATGAAAAATAACCGAATAAATTTGAAAATGAAAATGTAATTTATTGTTATTTATTACTCCTGAACGTTTTAGGGTATAAACCCTTAGTGTGGGATGTCAAAGGTCAATCAAGTGTGTCTCTCCACATCATGATTGCCAACTTTGCAAAGAACTCAAAATTGAGATATGCTGTACTGTTTAACATTGCTGATGCTTTCTATGTAGGTTTTCAGTAGACAATGTGTTAATTAGCTATGGCCAATTAATCACAATCAATCATTATTTCTATGATCAGATCTTGTTTATGTATGATCAGTATTTATTTAGACTTGGTACATATGTTGAACATGATGGAACCTTGATATACATCACTTTGTTTAGCAGATTAAATTGAAAATGGTCATCTGGCACCCATTTTCTTGTCTTCAATTCACTGATAGAGTGGTCACATTTCAGTCAAGGCATCATTGTTAAGGTTGTTTCATTAACACATCTTTTACTAGCAATAACGGGCAAGTGTTAATACTTTAACTATGTTTTTGTCTCATAATAGGTGGAATGTTTTTCCCACCCACCACAGCGCTTGGTTCAGGCTTATACGCTATTAGTGTGTATGGTGGTGTGGTGCTGTTTGGCGGGTTCCTCCTCTATGACACACAGCACATAGTAAGGAAAGCAGAGACTCATCCAGTGGTGGCTGGGTACCCATTTGATCCAATCAATGCGTGAGTGAATTTCTGACATTTTTTTTAATAGGCTTCATGCACACATCCTGGTATATCTGGGGGTACTTTTGCTCTTTGTCAACAATAATTTACAATATTATACGTCACCTTTTTTTCCAAGTTTATCGTACTTCCCCGAGTATAAGCCCAGGGCCAGGGGCCTGAACATGTAAAATCAGGAAAATTAGGGGGTGGGCATATACTCCGGGGGCCACCTCACAAAAGATAATTTGTTGGTGGGTTTAAAATTGTAACCATCTTCCCAAGCAGGAAAAATTATCCAAATTACATTTTTCGTTCACAGCGCCGGTCTCGGAGAAATATTATGTCTATTTTTGAGGAAAAAAACCAGAACAAATTGTCATTGATTTCCATTACACTTTTTACAATGAAGAAACAAACATGTTCATAAAAAAACACACTGTGGGAAAATAGTCAAAGGCAATATCTTTATCATTATCTTCATTGTGGAATGTTTTCAATCGTACGCAAACTCTCAATAACACCGATTTCGACAAAAAATGGTGATTTTCTCTAAAAGCTGTTGATTCGCAATTTTCGAAAGGTAAATTGAGGGTGGAGGAAGTATTTAAACCTTTCATGGTCGCCAACAAGTCATGTCGAAGAATAGTTTGCTTGTCACACTCCATTCACGATAGTCTCAATCAACACTATTATTCGGAAACCTAAAACAACGGTCAATGACCAGGTTTCATGACTTGACGATCACATTTTTGGCGTTTTGAAAACTACTACTTAAAAGAAATATGGATTACTTCAGTATTGCAACATCAGGATTCACCCTGAGTAAATAACAGAATAGAAAAGGTGTGAACCATGTTCTGTACGTTCGCCCACAATGTACTCTGAAATTAATGCGAGTTTTCTTGTAAAAGCAGGAACCAAACTAACCATACCAGTCATGATTCTCTATGCAATGAAATACATGCATATTTTAATAAATGTCGTCAACGCCCGGTAAAAACACCATGGGCCAATACTCTGGGATGCCCTCAACTTGTTAATTGTCTAAAAGTAGAGGGGTGGGCTTATGCTCGGGGTAAATGTTTTTGGACTTCAATGTCAGCTTCTTGCATTCTGAGGGAAAATTTATGAGGAATTCCAATCGATATTGAATTTGTGCCACCAGAAGGTACAAAGATGTGTGACCTTTTGGAGGTCATGCATTAAATAGAAATTTGGGACTAGCCCAGCACAGCACAGCATGCTGGTGGGTGGGTAAGTATTGGTGAAAAGTGTGATTTCCCATTATGTTAAAAAATAAATTACAATATACACTCAAGAACAAAATTAATTGATGAAATTAACCAGTTCTGCACGAGGAGAAATTGTACAGTGCTAGTTGGTGATATAATTAAAGAGAAACCTGACAATGTGTCATAGCACATTGTGACAGATCAATTCATACAAAATGTGACATTCTTTGTACTGTACTTTGTACTGCAAAAAAAGTAATTGTCTTGTGCCATATGGGTTCTAAGTGACGTATGAAATGCATTATTCCTTTAATGTGACTTTGTTGCTTAAAGTGAGAGGGTCATCACCTGCGCACGCTCTGGAATTGAGTCCCAAGCGACGATAACAACACACTCTTAAAAAGCAAAGGCTCATGGGTAGACACTTGTCTGCGAACAATGACACGCTATGGCCATCTGACGCATGCGCAGTGGACGACTCTCTGCTTTAAACACACTGTATGTGGATATTATAATAACAACTCTTTAATGCATTTTTGTACTGCAAAAATATTCTCAGGGGCAGAGTTGCGTCTGTTCTATGTTACTAAGACGCGCACCACTGTACCATGTATTTCTATGGGCTCTGCGCGAGCTGCTGTGAAACGCCGGTCGAGGAGCCGGTGAAAACAGCTAAAGTCAAGGAAACAGAACAAACTCAACTTTAAAGTAATCCTGAGCAACCAAATTTATATATGTTATATTTATTTATAACAAATTTATATATGTTGCGCATATAGGGGTAATTTAGTTGCATTGATCAGGAGAGTCCCATCAACTATCCCAAAGTACAGTTTTATTGAGAGTTTTTTGCTTTTGTTTTCACCGTGATGGTTGCCAGGTGGTGAAAATATCCCCAGGAATTGTTTTCGTTGAAACAGTTCTCATATTCGTACACATTAACCTGTGTTGAAATCAGTGACTGACTTGCATTGTTTAATTATCTCTTTCAGAGCAATGGGTATTTATATGGACACCATCAACATTTTCATAAGAATTGCTATGATTTTGTCTGGTAGTGGTAGAAAGAGAAAATGAACAACTTTCAGATGACGCATTTGCACACACATTCAGTCCACTGTAAATGCATTAATTATTCATTTTTGCTGATAAGTAAAATCCGCTAAAATAAATTTACGTGAACATGTAATATAACAATGAAAACTCATTATTTCCTCTACAAATTTGTGAAATTAAAACACAGTGAATATGCTCAAAATAGTGAAATTAAAAGTCAGTGAAAATAAATGGTTTTACAGTATTTTTGCTTTTCTAAGTGACACACCAGCAGTGCCCTGACTTGTCTTCATGAATTTTGTTCTATGAAAAAAAAAAAATTGATATCAAAAGCAATGTCATATTTGGTCTGTCTGGTTTAAATTTGATAGGAAAAATGGTTGACTGGTTTTTTTTGAGAAGTCAAAGTGGCAGTGGTTTACCATTAGTTTGTGATGCATCATGAAATTTCCACATACACGTAGGACGTTATTTATTAATGTAGCAATTATTTGAGATTTTTTGAATTGTTGAGTGTAGAAAATTGCATTCACCTCAATACTGAAACCATTGCAGTGATTCCTTTAATGAAATGTTGTGACACAGGTATTACAACATAACATATTTGATTCGTTTGTTTCACAAATTTGAGTATGGTGTGAGTAAGTCATTTCAGAGTGAATAATTTTATTTGAGTTAAAGAAATATTGTTTGAATTTGAAAAAGTCGAATTTGTTTTGATATTTATGATATTGAATAGTAAATTTATAGATGGTTTCAATTTGCGAGAGTCTGAAATCAACTCTTGTTTCTTATGACAATATGAATTAAATTTTAAAAACTATTGTTTTTGTTAAATGTGTTAAAATAGGGGATAATTAAAAATAAAATGTTATTTCTGTTATCCTAGTTTCATCATCCATGTCTCTTTACAAATACAAGGAAATACAAGGGCAGACAGACAGACAGACACACACATTGCAACATTGTCCCCCCCCATGTGTGCAACAGGAGCTCTGCAACACAATTGGAACGAACTACTTGTATTCGTTATGAATGTGACTTGAGGGGAATCTGGTTTTAGGTTGGCTTGTGTTTGATTGGGCCTGGTTTCATAGGATTGCTGTACAGCTCTGTTGTGTAGTCCTAAACATGTATTATGGTATTGGTAATATATAATCTCAATTTGCATATATAAAATGACTGGAAATGCATTCAATCTCTGTAACTAACATCACTAATTCTTATAACCACCAGGTATGTGGGAATTTTTCACTGCAATATTTTGCATGTCTGATAATGAAACTTCACACCTTGTTTTCAATGAGGGATTCACAATCTACTGACTGGTTTTATATTTCCTATAATGTTTTCTGTGGATTACCCAGGAGTAATGAGAATGAAAAAAAAAATTGAGAATTTATGAATATTGCCAATACTCAAATAGGAACAATTGCCATTTTATTTGGGGAAGGAGCTGTGGTGTCGGGCCCAATAAACACGCAGACAACAGGTTCAAGGTACAAGCAATGTTCACTTGTGTAATAACTAACAGAACTCACAAAGATGGCAGCCCCTGTCCCAGAATCCCATCTTGCTAAGCAACCCAACTGATGGCGGGAATAAGGCCATGCAAAGTACGATATATGTTTATACTATTAATGCTCAGACACAACAGGAGCAAGGATTTCTTTATTCAGGGAACCAAGTCTCAGACTGGCTGGCCCCTTTTGCCCAGAGCTCTGGATTGACTGTTGAGCACTTATTCAAGTGTTGATAATAAGTAATTCTTTAAAGCCCAAATGAACAGAATTACATGTGATAGTAGATCTACATATTCTTATTTAAAGATTTTTCCATGTGAAGTAATTTCACAAAATCCTATCACAATATATACGCGTAATGTAGATAATTTACGCATGGATTAGGGGTAAACAACTCTTACCTCTTTAATATTTGCTCTCAACTGAACCATGGAAGGTACTCCGTTACTGAACTTGGTATGACTTCAACAAAATACACATAAATTTCTTTCTCACTAAAGCACAACAGTGTATTTAGTGGCACCTTCAAAAATTGTAATGTGAAGCCATGAAAAGTCACCAGTGGCCTAGCCTCCATTATCGAAGCAAGTCCAAATGGAGATTAATTAATTGATATGGTAGGCGCTGAATGCAAAATGTTGGTCGCTCATGCTAATGCAACAGTAACATCTTCTTTTACGATGTGTTGTGTATTATTGCAAGCTAACGAGTTAGTACCACGCTGAAGCAAAAGATCTATCTCAAAACTAAGATAAATAAAATTAAATTGTATCTATAGTTTCCCTGCCTTGTGGTCACTGGTAGTCTCTAATTATGAACAGCATACTGTAAGCTCATTAATTGTTTTGAATCTAGGTGAAGATATAACAAAACAATACAATAGAACTTCTGTTTCTCAGCAGAGTTCGTAAACTTAAAAACAAGTGAAATTGTTCAAAGCATGAGAAAGTAAAATTAAATGCCACTGGAAATACTAGTAAATGCATATACAGTACTGTTTTTGAGAAAAATACAATGTACAATGAAAAACGTTGAATTGTGTGTAGTAAATATGCGATACATTAATATACAAAGTATACTCGATAAAAAAAGAAAAAGGATCGTGTTCAACTATTTTGGTAGGGCTGCTAGACGCTGCCTATTCGTGAGCGCGATCCCACTACTGCTCCACACGGGAACTTTTGCCTGCTGTGTTTCCACCCTGGGCCGATACGTCCCTCATTATACAACCTGGTCGTCCTAACCTCCGTTGATGCCGAGCTTAGCATGGACGCCTGATCTCCATAGAAAGACGACTAACAGGACTCCCAACCTCAACCCGTCCAACAACCCCGGCCTCCAAGTAACTGGATTACAGGCGCACGCCACAACGCCCAGCCATTAACGCCTGACATTTTAACGCTATTTATTGAATAGAAGACAGTGCCATCTACGATGGTACCTGGCATCCACCTGGTTTGCATGTCTGCTTTGAAGTTTACACAATAACCATTGCCTAATAACTATCTAAGACAATCACTACATCAAAGTCGCCCATTCATAAAAACAAACCTCCGACAAAAATGGATACATGGCCTTATGACCGAAGAGAACTGATGTTTCTCAGCAGAGTTCATGAACTGAAAACCAAATGAAATTGCTCAAAGCATGCGAAAGTGAAATTAAAAACATTTGAAAATAAATGGATTTATAGTCAATTGTTTTTTTTTTTGGGGGGGGGGGTGGGTAAAAATACAATGTTCAATGAAAATCGTTGAATTATATTCGATATATGCGATATATTAATATAAAAAGTATACTCAATATAAAGGAAAAAGGATTGTGTTCAACTATTTTGGTAGGGCTGCTAGACGCTGCCTATTCACGAGCACGATCCCACTACTGCTCCACACGGGAACTTTTGCCTGTTGTGTTTCCACCCTGGGCCGATTCGTCCCTCATTATACAACCTGGTCGTCCTAACCTCCGTCGGGTCGACCATATTGATGCCGAGCTTAGCATGGACGCCTGATCTCCATAGAAAGGCGACTAACAGGACTCCCAACCTCAACCCGTCCAACAACCCCGGCCTCCAAGTAACTGGATTACAGGCGCACGCCACACGCCCAGTCATTACGCCTGACATTTAACG